TGATAAAGAAACTGAGGCCCAAAGAAGGGACATGATTGAGCCATGGGCACACAGGGAATGCCAAAAATGAACCAGAGCCCACACCTTCTGCTGAACTCTCCCACCCACGCCAGGTTCAGCCCCTTTGCCAAAGTATCAAGATCTTGCTCAATTTATTTATTTTCATTCTTCCTCTCAGGCTATCAATAAGGGGTTTATATACTAGATCCATATCTGAAGTGAATCTTTCCAAAGTTACACTATGTTTACATATTCAAACATCCTATTCTGGATTCTTCTGTCTTGCTAAGTACACAAGTAAAATGAACAGTTCTATGTGATTGTGCGACGAAAAATTCTCTTCCTCCCCCACCGTAGGCACCAAAGTATACTTTTATCTATGTGGATTACTTTGCATTAATTTTCAAATAATGGCTAGGTTTACAAAGAATTGGCATCCTAATAAATCAATTTACTTTAAGCAAATAACCCATTTCAACAGTATTTTGTTTCTAACTCACTTGAACTGGAAAAAGGTATTTTTTCCCACTGTTAGCCATGGTGCAGACTTCATTTTTTAGGCTAACATGACCAAATAGTCTACTTACTGCTACTGCGTGGAATAATGTGGTATTTTATTAAAATCTCTCAATATGATGTCCTACTTTCCAACCACACCACATACCTTTTACTTTTCTGTCTCTTTCTCTCCAGCTTCTCTCTTCTTTGACCACATTCCAGATTCCAGTCCCTTAACTTCATTTTCCCCAGGCATTTATTTCTCTCTTCTCCACCCGGCCTGGATACCATGCCCTCTCCTATTTCTCTGTGAGATCTACCTTGTCAATTCTGAACCTGGGGTCTCTTCTTTCTTTTTCTTTTTAAAAAGAAAATTGTTTTTCCAGCTCTATTGAGGTATAATTGTCATACCATTGTGTAAGTTTAAGATGTACAACATGTTTATTTGATACACTTATCTATCATAAAATGACTGGCACTGTTAGCTAACACTTCTATCCTGTCACATAATTACTATTTCTTTTTTGTGGTGAAAACATTTAAGATTTTCTCTCTTAGCAACTTTCAAGCACATAGTGAAGTATGGTTAGCTATAATCACCAGACTGTATATTAAATCCCCAGAACGTATTCATCTTATCACTGGAAGTTTGTATCCTTTGTCCAACATCTCTCCATTTCCCCCACCCCCAGCCACTGGTAACCACCACTCTACTCTGTTTCTGAGTTCAGCTCTTTTAGATTCCGCGTATAAGTGAGATCATGTGGTGTTTGTCTTCCTCTGTCTGAATTATCTCACTTAGCACAATGCCCTTGGTTCATCTATGTTGTAACAAATGGCAGAGTTTCCTACTTTCTAGTGGCTGAATAATATTCAGTTGTATATATGTACCACATCTTCTTTATCTGTTCATCCCTTAACAGACACAGGACACAGGTTGTTTCCATATCTTGGCTGTTATAAATAATCCTGCAATGAACTCAGGAGTGTGGTTGACTCTTCGAGATCTTATTTCCATTTCTTTTGGCTCCAGAAGTGGGATTGCTGGATCATATGGTAGTTCTATTTTTAATTTTTTGACGATGAATTCTCTTCTTCACATCTCTTTTTCTCAACTTGACTGAAGTAACTGAGCACAGGTAATCTATCAATTCTCCTGGTAGTTGTCACTACAAATATATGGCCTTTAATTGCACCCAGGCCCTGCATGCCTTTTCTACAGCCCTTCTATTTTGTCTTGGCCACTGTCCTCTCCCATTCCCCTTATTGGGTATTTCAATTTTTTATTGCTCTTCTCAGGCTGAGACCCCACTTGCTACTCACCTTTCTCAGGTGTAGACAAACATTTTCCAATACTCACCTGCTCTCCCCCCTCCTTCACGCAGCCTTCCTGTGGGGACCTCAGAGAGGCAGGCATTCTTCCTCCCTCCCACCCAAACCTAGCTCCGCTTCCTGTGGGCTTAGAACTGCCCCTCTCGTCCCATCGTCTCCAAGACCTTCCTGCATTAGTGACTCCTGCTCTCTCCCCTGCACCTTTTCTCTGCTCACCTTTTGTTTTGTTTGCTCCCTTCAGCTTCTAAAGTTGTAAACTCCTTTCCCCTCTCCTTTGGAAAGAGAACTCCACCCTCCTGCTCCCTCTAGCTGTGGCCCGATCCCTCTCCTTCCCGTCCCCATCATACTTCTCAAGACTTCACGGTCCCCGTTTCCTGATTTCCCTTCACTTTTTAGCTCAGTCCCATCTGGATCCTGGCCTTGCCACTCTGCTGCATTTCCATTGGCTAAGCTCGCCAACGTTTTCATAATTCTTAGAGTCAGTTTTATCCGTTTCCTCTCTGTGGTTTAGCAATTAGAGCAATATTGACTCGATCTTACATTGTATTAAAGGGGTGTTTGGTCAAGGAACCAAAACCTTAGGACTTCTCAGGATGGGTCGTCAGTCCGTGCGAGGTCCCTGGGGAGGGTCCCTGGGCTGGGCATTGCTGAGCTACCCTTTGGCCTGAGATAGCAAGGCCTAGATAACTTTAGAGCAAAATCGGAGGGAGAGTCCTCCTCTGTGCACTTCACCTCCCCTGGGACCCGGGTGGGGAAAATGGGATGAAGAGGAACGGCTGGCCAGGAGGACCAGCATCGAGGCTGGTGCAGATAGTCCAGGGGGGAAAAATGACAGAGGCCCGAACTAAGACAGTTACCGATGGAGACGGCCGCTGTGGGAAGTCTGAGTAGAACCAGCAGGATGATCGGAGGGAGAGGGAGAGGGAGAGGGCTTGAGGGTGGCTCCTGCGCTTCTCGCTTGGTAGACAGGGGTATGGTGTCTTCATATTAATGCAGAGAGAATATAAGGAGAAAACTGGTTGGGGAAATAGAAAAAACGTTTCTAACATTCTGCTTGTGGTTTAGTTTGGAAAAAAGAGAAATACATGTACAGTAAACTTGTCGAGCTGTAGATATTGGGAGACTGTTTTAATATAGAATATACAGGGAATTAGATAAACTTTGTTCAGATCATGAGGTCTCGTAGAAAAAAATGTCTTTGAGATCTAGTTAAAATTTGTCTTAAGCAAGATAAAAGAGGTGAACTTATAACAATTAGATCTTCATTTCTCCAAGAAGGTTTTAGGACTGAAGGGACCTAAGATAAAGGAACCTGAATCTCCGACTTTCCCTAGCGTAACCCCCCTGTGGGGTCAGGATTGGGGGTCACCAACACTGCGGCGGTCACGCGCAGGGGAGAATTCCCAGAGTGCAAGTGTCCCGCCCGGGGTCCGGGAGGGGAACGCGCTGTGTGGGGTGGGGAGACGTGAGGGCCATCACTGGTATCACTTCTGAATTCGTCTCCTACACCCGATGCTTAGGTCTATTTGCTTACTTCTTTTAGGTGCCTGGCACTGGGAGATTAATTTTGTCAGACCGCTTGTGGGCACTGGATTAGCTAGGGAAGGCCGGAGAAGGCTGCCTTCCATGCTCCTGGGACCTCTGAACAGAGGAAGCGGGAGGGGAACACCAGATGGGCAGGTGTGGCCATGCTGAGGAGGACTGTCACGTGGACTGTCCACTGGGAGTTGGGAATATGAACGTGGAACTAGATCTCTGAACTACTGACTTAACGTGGCTGACAAACGCCTTGGGGTGGGAGGCACTGGGCAGGATCTCCTACGGGGAGCACAAAGAATGAGAAGCTCCTGGATCATCAATGGAATTTCTGCTCATCCGACAGTTAAAAGACAGGCCGATTCAGATGAAATATGAAAAAGAGACTAAATTCAAACATTCAGAAATGTACGAATGATTATATTTATTCTTTAAAAAATGCACACAGAGTCTCTGGGAGGCCTTGCTTTACAACAGCCGGTCTCTTTATTTCTTGTCTCACTGTATACCTAACATAGGAAAGCCCCATCCAGAGATACTTTTTTCCAAACAAGGATCAACAACGCTTTTACTTAAAAAATAAGACAACTTTGTTGCACATCACTACTCTATATGGCTGAGTTTTTCACATCAAGTTGGTTTAGTTCTTTGAAGAAAGGCTTAATGACTAAAACTGTACAGATAATTGGGCAAGAGAACTAGTCCAACAAATTTAATAAAAAATATTTCAGAACAATTATACTACAGTTTTAGATTATACTAAAACTGTCTTAGATAATTATTTACAACTTTATCATAGTATAAAAACTCTAAATCTTAAAATAAATTTATGGATTTTATACAAAAATATTCTAAAGTACAAATATAAGTTAAACACTGAATAAAACATTTACCAGGTCCAGTGGAAGTTATTATTAAGAATATATTCTAGGTGGTAAAATGTAAAGCTATAACCACAAAACAGTGTTTCCTTAATCATTTATAATTTTAAATATTTTAGTAGTAATCACAAAGTTTAGAGTTTCATTGTATAATTTGCATTTTTACAAATATAAGATATACAATTTCCTTCACAGACCACTTATCTTTAGCTCACGTAAAAAAGTCAATAAAGTAATAAAAATCTGTTAGTCAAAAGTTGGCATGCCCTGTAAAGTATATAAATTGTAAAATTTTCAAAACTCTGATTCCCGTTAAAAAAAAATAAAAATAAAAAACAACCAAAAAACCACATCGCTACAGGGTATCTAATCCATCTAGCAACAATGTTCTCACACTTTAGAAAAATATTAAGTACTAAATCTTCTTTAAAAGCCACTGTTTTATGAATAAGTATGAACAGAACAAAACTTTCACATTTAAATAATTCTGGTATAAAATATATTTGGCATAGTATAAGAAACATCTTGTCAGGAGGTACTATTTTGCTGTGTAAAAAATAAGTATGCCTCTTGTTTAATAATTTCCCTCAAATGCTACAAATGACATTTTAAGACAATGTGGATATTACTTACAGTTCTGTTTTCACCTTGAGGTACTAATTTTGCATTTGGCCAGATGTTCATAAAATTTAAAAGGGATATGTGTGACCTAGTAATATGCCAATTTAAATTTTCTGAGACATTGTGTTAAAATGTCATTAACAATGTCATGGACAATGTGGTTGGTAACTAGAATAAATGCACATTAAAATTATTGCCCTATGAACAATTTGGACTTTAGTTTCAGTTTTAGCTTCAGTTCCTTTCCATTCTATCAAGTAGAGTTATAAGCATGGCATTTTTGAGTAATTAAATGTAGATACCAGAATAGCAACTAAACTGAAAAAGTACTTGAGACTTGTACTTTGGAACAGAGTAAATACTGACACTGAAAACATTTAAAATGGCTCATTTTCCCTAACATCTTAGTGCAAATTAGCAAACTTTTAGAAGGATTTAGTCATGGAAAGAAGGGAGCATAATCTCATCTTCATTCACGCCTTGTTCATATCGAACCGAAGAGAAGCCGGCCCAGGACGAACGGTTCCTCTGGAAGAGGACCCAGATCAGCCCGCCGATGAGAGCCACGACGCACAGCACAGAGAGCGCGACGGCTATTCCTCGGTAATCAGGGCCTGGAGGGGACAGGGGTCACAGTGCAGGAGGGGGTGCGAAAGCGGTTACTATTGTTTTATGCATTCGGCTGCGTGTCACATAAGTAAACCTGCACAAATTAGATACGGTGAGTGCCTGATTGTTTCATAGCATGAACACAGAATTCAAGATCACCGTCAAACACTTAAGTGCTTTCCCTCCCCAAATTTAACTGTTTTCCTCTTCATTCAAATCCTCTGCACGGGTGCAGTAATTTTCTTCCAAAGAAATTAAAGCACTATCATTATTCTCACGCTCCCTTCTCACCACTCTTTTGAGAGTATCACTCCCAGTATAGTACCTTACTTTGATAGCAAATTGCTAAAAGCTGTACATTTTTGTGTCTGACTCACCTAGAGCGAAATAAAGTATTATTTGCTTTAAAATGATGTAAGCCTTTAGGATGACCTCATAGTTCCTCGCCACTCAAATGCTGTCCCTGGCCCCTTCTCCGCATGCTGCCGAGATGGACATGTTCTGTCCCATGACATTACTATCATCTCTGTGCTGACCTCCCTTCCCCCTCATGTGTCCAACAATATACTCTACATTCCATATGGATATCTCATCTCCCTATGGATAGTTGAAAATGGCCAAATTAGAACTCTTGGTTTACATCACCCTAATCCTGTCCCCCCTCCCCCTCCCCACTTCCCCCCAAAACATTCCAGTCGTTTTCCATTCCATTCAGGACAGGCCTGAACTCCAGACCCTTGTTTCCGGAGCCCTGAGCCTCGGGGAGCAGCCTGCCCTCCAGCTCCTCCCTGAGCATCACCAAGGTTGTTCTGCCTTAGGCTCTCTGCTACAAACGGAATCTCTGCCTGGCGAGCCTCTGCCCCTGATGGTTGCTGGCTGGTCTTTCAGGTCTCAGCTTCAAAGTCAGGCCTCAGCTGCTCTTAGACGTCTTCCCCGATAGCCCAACCGAGAGTACCCGTCCCCCTGGTCTCGATCACATAGAATTCAGAACTATTTGATATTTTCCTCTCTTCTAAATATGGACCTGCTTGGTTACCTATCATCTGTCTTCCTCCACCAGGTTGTGGAGGAGGAAAAGGTATGCATCTCCTTTGTCGTGTTCGCAGGTGCACCCCAGCACACTGAGTAGACTCGGGATATCCCCTGGATCGGTGAACGATTATATAGATGCTGATGGGCGCTTTTATGCTAGATCTTTAAAAGTGTTGCTGGGAAAAAATTTAGAGTTCTTTCGCTAGAAATGAAGTTAAGATTTTTATGGCTATATTATATATCAACTCATGATGAAAGATAAGTTCAAACTGTGATTTCCTACAGATACCCAGGTAATTTTAATTAATTAAGCAAGTTTTGCAATATTGTTGAGTTTTAAGGGAATGGGGAGAAAGAAGGCACACTGCGGAATTAAACCTCTGAGCTTTTACATATTTAAACCATAGAATAAAATATGTTAAAAACATATTCAAAGAAATGACCTGTCTAATACGCTGGCAGCTTCCAGTTTTCTTAGGAAAGAATTGTACAACATTTAGACTTTAAGTCATTTCTTCTGGAAGTTCTGGGCATCTGGTGCATTTATTGTCTCTTGTAATCTATTTTTTTCTGAGGGAAAGAATCTCCATGACTTAAAATTTAAATGTTGTACAATTCTT